ACTTCAAGAAAGATGGTGAAACAGATGGGTATCCCGATTGGAACGATTATTACCCGATCTTCATCATACGTGCGTTCCAGAAACATATTGACCTGCAGAAAAATAGGATCGACATATACGCCAAACCAATCCCCGAGGGAGATGATCCCAGCTGTTTCGATGGGAACAGCGTCATTGCTATTCGATGTGTTGGAGGCCACAGTTGCGTTAACCCACTTTCCAAACCATGGAATATGGGCTGGGAGAGCCTACAATGGACAGACGTGAAATACCTCCACCACGGCGCAGCACTCCGCGCTTGGCGCAACATCCTCAATACAGGGATCATTCCAGGCTACGTCGATCCATCTTCTCAGAGAGACAAGCATCATAAACCATCACAACGCACGGAGGCATTCTTCAGTTCCAGCACATATCTAGACAATGTCCAGAATAATCCCCACACCTCAGTAGAGTCATACAAGTTCAATCACTACAAGAACGAGGTCGAGCTGGTGATCAACATGGAGATCGCCACAAAAGCTGGTTGCAGATTTTGGCTGGGCGCTCAAGGCGCTATCATGACAGAGGACGTGGTTCCAGCAGCGGCAGTTATTGCAATTCGCCGCCTCCAACCACGCCACATTCGCGGCCAGCAGATATGGCCGGAGGGCCCCACATGGGACTACCCGCCATTGGCCGCAAGACAGCCATTGAGCAAGTACGAAATTTGCGCCTATCATCCTGGAGAGTTCATCGACAACCCTCCTGGGATTACACCTGCTGGCACGGATCAGGACATGGATCAGCAGCCAAGGACGCTGTCAGCATCAGCACCTTCGGCTCAGCGACCGATTGCCCCTCAGCTGGGGGCAACCCCTGCTGACCGCATGTCTGGAGCCGACGCCTTGGATGAGCAAATGGTCCGTGCTATGATTGAGGACACCAATCACAAAGCAGATGATAAAGAATGGTTAGTTGCTCTGTCATACTGCCGCGAGGCTCTTCGACCCATTACATCAAATATTACACAAAAAGATTGGGATCGTCGGCCTGCATTTAATGATGTTCGCATGGGGGACTTCATTATCATTATGAATTGGGGATCTATCAAATGTTTTCATTACGACAATCACTACCCCAAGGGCAATCACAATACCAAGGTACCCATGAATAAGGGCCACATATATGGCCCAATCATTCATTTCGGAGTCTTTGACAAGTTCTTTGCGGTACAGATACCTATTCTTAACTACGGTTTACGATGGGTAAACATATGGTACAATGACAAAAGCTTGCCTCTCAAGGGCGTTGTCTTTGCATTGCCAATTCGTGCCGACGAATATGCCATCAACTCGACATATATGAATACTGCCCTGGAAGGACCATCCTCATGCTGTCACAAAATACTTCAGCACAAAACAGATGGCAGTCTGCCATATCTTGGTATGCCGATCATTTATAGGCTACGCATTCCACGTACACCGACCATACGGCCCGCTCCTCGGACACCCGATCCCGAAGGGCTGGTGGTCACACCTGCCGAGGATACCGCTCCTGCGGACGATGGGCCCCAACAAACGGCAGGCCCATCTGACGAACCTTTGGTTACCGTTATCGTGGATATATCAAACATACCACTCGCCGCCGAAGAAAAAGCGGCAAATGACAATACGAAGGCAGATCTATCAGCAGAGATCCAAGCAGATGAGCACGTCGACGCGAGCATCCTCGACAACGTTATTGACCCGCCAGAAAGACTTCCTCAATCACACCGACTACGACCCAGAGGACCATACAAAGTGGACCAAACAATCATACGACCACAGCATATACCGCTGGGTGTCGGAGCTTTTGGTGGACTCACCTATGATAAGGATGAAGCAAATCATTGAGGTGCACACTGGCGTGGACAGATCGACGGTGGATAAAACACAGTCGTACTTAGGATTTGATATTCAATTCGGATCCAAAGCATGGAATGCAGAGAAATACTACTTGAATTACGATCATACCCACAAATGGGCTCGCGACTTACCAATTTGCAGTGCCGATCGCTTTTTCAAAAAGTTGGTACACTACCTGGACCCAGAGACCATCGAGGAGTCGACTACAGGCGTCTTTCAATGGATATCCAAAGTGTATCAAAACATATTGATGGACAGTATTGCGGAGCTCCGTGGCTTCACAAAAGATGCTATCCATCAGAAACATCCCGCGCTCCAAACGTTGCGTGATCTATTTACACACTGCATCAAAACATTCGGCAATCCAGGCTTCCCCGTGTGGGCGGAGCTGGTGGAAACACCTGCCGCGCCACGTGGCCCAGGCGCGGAGCAGGATATTCCCCAGGACCCAGGCAGCGTTGCATCCGCAGCTCCTGATCAAGAAACCATGGTACGGGTCATAGCCGAGCAGACGGGAGTCAACCGCGAGGAGGGCGACAACGAGTCCGCCTTGCAGGAGGAGGCTCGCCGTCTCGTACTGAAAACGTATGCCATGGTGATACTGAGGATGCGGACAACGACACGACAGAGCACATAGGACTGCCAGGGGAGAGATTGTCTAGGATCGAGATCGAGGGATTGAGTAGATCAATCGCTTCCCGACCGAATGCCGAGATCAACCGCGAGGCCATGGATCAGATCGGCCGCAGTCTTGCTCGTGGTCAGGACACTCGCTGGGGATCTCGTGAGCACCTCACGACGGAGGGAGCCCCAGAAACGGTCCAGCATGATATCGCGCGGTGTCGGAATTGCGGTCGAGACTTATCCCTTGGGATTGTTACAGGTGATGGTACCCTTTGTGACATCTGCTGGCAGTACACCGTGGCCGTAGGTGCTACGGGTAAAAGTACCGCCGTCCAGAGCGACCTAGCATACCTCCACAAGCTGACCAACTGGATCAAGATGGCGCTCTCCCAGGATGACATCACGAGGTACATGAGAGACGGAGCGCAAGTCATCCTGACGGGCGCGCGCTCATTCCCAGGTAATGAGAAAGACCCGCTGCGGAGAATGGCTAACTCCTCTAGGAAGAGGTATCAGAAGTGGGTCGACTCTGGCCGCCCTCCTGCACACGAGTGCAGACTGATGGGCGAGGCTGATGACGACAGACCTCTGTACTACCCATATGCCAATCTCGTTCAGCGTTTTCTCAACGATTTGAAGTTCCACCACCAAATGACAGGCGCTCGCGTGAACGTGGGCAAGAAGGCCTGGAACGTGGGCGACATGCGTGATGCATGTACGATCCTCGATACTAGCATCAGGACAGGCCAAGCCGGTCGGAAGAAATGGTGGTTGAACGAGGGCAGACTCGACAGACAAACGCGGCAAGCTCGCGGACTTGTCACGATTGCCCTCCCTAGAAGGGATGGCACCCGTGAGAAAGTCACGCAGCGCAAGCTTGCTGCGATTGCTAACGAGTTGTTGGGCTCCCTCGATCCGACAGACACCGACCAGAGGGGGGGTGATTCAGGGATGAGAACCGATCCGATCGAACCTGATACACACTCCCATCAGTCTGATGATGCCATGGGGCCGCGCCATCCGCCGCCGCCGCCGCGCCCTGCCCCTGGCGATGCTGCGCAGTCCAGCGCCTCTGGCGCGGCGGGCCACATGCCCGCGGGGCCGCGCGCCAAGAGAGCGCGTGCGACAGACTACGCCGCCTGGTGGCGCGACGACCTTGAGGACAGTCATTGGGGCCTCAGGTATTGGAGCTACTACATCAACTGCTGGATCTACATCGCGCTGAACAACGACGAGTTCGTATACATCCGCGACATCCAGTACAACAAGTGGTTTCGTCACTGGATCCCGAGGACATCTTGGGGGGCGTTCGCGACGAGCTACGTGACGCACGATGGCCACAGGATGTGGGACCGCAGGTTCTACCAGAACGGCAACGCGTAGTGAGTCGGCCGCAAGGCCCACCGCTCGAAAGGCTTGAACTTCATTATAATCCAAGTTCGCCTTGAGCGGTGGCTACTATATACTTCTAGGCCACTTCACTATATAACACAAGTGGCCACACATAAAAACATATTTTGCGATAACCAAGGCAGCCTCCTAAGGAGCAACGCCAACGGGAGTCGCCATATAGAATTCACATACATGCAACTTTCGTGTTTGTCAACGCGACCTTTCGTCTGGCCAGACATTTGCTTATATATATAGTTGCGTTTCGTAGCACGATCGTGTTCACCAGCGCGATCTCAGCATGCATATTCATTACAGTATAACTACATTGCGTTGATAATGATCTGACAGCTGGTGGCAACACCTGCCTCGCAAAGGCGAGGCAGATTACAAGTTGCTTTATTGCTCAGATCCTCTTTCTCCGCCCACCCGTGTCTCATTCTTCTCCGCCCTCGAGTGCCGAAGCGTTTTGGGGGGGCGCACCGAGGGGGGCACCAAAGCGTGCTTGGCGAAGAAATCGGGACCCGGGGTGTTCCATCTTACCTTACTTTGCAGCTGAGGCTCTACTGACTTTGAGCTCAGCTGCCTGCAGACCTGAGGATTGACGGAGTAAAAGGGTGACGGATTCTTTTCCTCTGTTCCCGAGTCCTACCCTCACGGGCGGGATTCGGGACGGGGGGTGTGAATAGAACCCGTGTAATACCCTCATATATACTCCTTATCCTCACCTCTCCTGCGCCTGGCCGTTTGGGCTCGGGTATTGGGGCAGATCGATCGGGCCTTTGATCGTGCTATCCATCTATCCCTCCTTCCCTCTACCAGCGGATCAGGGGTTCTGCACCCTTGTACTTCAACCCCATACACGAGAGAGAGAGAGAGAGAGAGAGAGAGAGAGAGAGAGAGAGAGAGAGAAAAAGAAAGAAAGAAATATAGCTAGAAGGAGGGAGGGGGAGAGGGCGAGGTGGAGCAGCACGAGGAGCAGGAGGAGGATGGGAACGACGAGCGAGGACCTGTGCGGTGGCGGTGACGGGGGAGCGCTCCTCGGAGGCCGCCGCGGAGCGCCATCGCTCTGCCCGCCCCATGCGCGCGCGGCCGGGTCAGTGCATCGCCACGCTGATGGGCTCCGTGGACTGGCGCTGGCCGTTCCTGGTGGTCGCGGTCCCGTCCCTGGGTTCTCGCGGCTCGGGCAGTGCCCAAACCAGACCCCTTCGAGTCATGAAGGACTCGCGCCGGAACGTTTTCAGCGTCGGGGGGCCCTTACCGGTCCGCGGGACCGTCAAAAATATTATCCAGGATGAAAAACCAGTCCTGGGGAGGAGTGGGTCGACCTTTGGGATCGACGTTCGAAACAATCGTGGCGTCGGGTGTGTGTGTGTGTGGGGGGGGTCGAATGGGCGGCGCGCGCAAGAGGGCAGCGCGAGTTGGGCGGCCTTTGAGAACGCAGGGGAGCTTCTGAGAAAGCAAGGTGGTTTCCTAGAAGCCCTCCTGGCTTCTAAGACGCTTTCTTAGAAGCGTCTAGGCGTTTCCAGGAAGGCCCTTGCCCATTACGAAGCCCCCCCGCATTATCGGAGATCCCGCCCCCCATCGCGTCCCCTCCACCTCCCTCAACGTGCCGCCAATCGAAGGCATGAGCCCCCCTGCACTGCAGCTTTCAGGGGGTCCCCGAGAGCTTCCCAGACACCGAGAGCCTCCCGCGAGTGCGCTCCTCTGCTCTGGCATCGGAGCTCTCTGCGGGCGTCCCTGTGTCCTCTTCACTCGCTCGCCTTCTGTCCGCGCCCCTCGCCTGCTCCTCCTCGCCTTCCTTGTCTTCCTCGCCGCTGTCGTAGTCCTTGCCGTCGCCGTCGCCGTCGCCGTCGCCGTCGTCGTCGTCGTGGTGGTCGTCGTCGTCGTCGTCGTCGGCAGCGGCGGTGGCGGCGGCGTCGGCGTCGGCGTCCATTTGCGCATGGTCCTTCAGCCATGTTGCTGGAGGAGGAGGGGACAGGGGGAGGGGAGAGGTTTTGTGTGTCTCCGGCAGTTTTTGGGTTTGTTGTGGCATGCTGGCGGCGGCTCCGCGAAGAGGTTTCCCGTGGGCCCCCCCCCATCGTGCCCCCCCATCGAGGCCTCCCGGAGTGTAGGTCTTTTGCCGAATTTTCCTGGTTCTTGCTCCTCGTTGCCGTCGTCGTCGCCGTCGCCGTCGTCGTCGTCGTCGTCGTCGCCCCTCCCCCCTCCTCCGCTAGCTTCGCGCTCATGAATCACAGGGATCCAAAGTGCATCCTGGGCTGCGGCCCAACCGCCGTGCTCTCATAGGGCCATCCTTATGGACGTATGTCGGCGCCTCGCCTCTCCTGGCCATCGAGGCGTTCCGTCTTGGCCCCCCATCGTAGCCCTCATCGTGTGATTGTGGAAAGCTGTTGAGGGTCTTCTGCCGCAAGGGTGTCATATGCATATCCGCCGCCCTGGGAAGCCACCCTCCTGGACATCGGGAGGCGGTGGGGGCCGTCGGGCCCCGAATGTATTGATATCCGCTGCCCTCTGGGTTCCAGGAAGCTCGTTTACCCAGGTGGTGGATATGTGTAAATTCCAACCTCGTGAAGGTCACCCCCAGGGGCGCGATGATCGCTTCGCACGTCAAGGCCTGGGCGGGAGAGCTGCCCTTTCTCGGGGGGAGGGGTCCAGGATGCCGAAGAGCCAGCCGTGCCGATCTCTGGGACGCCCACAGGGTCTGCACCCCCCCCCCGGTCCTCCTCCTCCTCCTCCTTCTCGCTCCTCCTGATCCCTTCCTCCTCGCGCTATCCTCCTCCTCCTTCTCCTCCTCCTCCTTCTCCTCCTCCTCCTCCTCCTCCTCCTCCTCCTCCTCCTCCTCCTCCTCCTCCCCCTCCTCAATAATAACTTCTCCCTGTCGCACCCCGAGGCCAATTTTTTGGGAGGGCAGGGCGTTTCGCCTGAGACCTCCTCACCATTTATGACCCTGGAGCTTAAACATTGGCAGCAGCTTCACATATGGAATGCGGGTGGTTTTCAAAATGTTGCCATCGCCTCAGCGCCGCACACATTCTTTTTAAACATATGCAAGATCTTCACGGATTAAGGGCGACTGGTTTTCAACATGTAACTCTTGCCTGAACGCAGCGCACATTCGTCCCAATCAAGTGCAAAAGTTTTACGGATTGAAGGCGGTTCTCAAAATGTGGTTCTCGCCTTCGCGCCGCGCACATTTGTTTAAAACTTTTTTTGGAGTTTCTCGGGTTGAGGGCGGTCTATTTTGAAAATGTGGCTCTCGCCTTGGCGCCGCGTGCATTTGTTTAAAACTTTTTTTGGAGTTTCTCGGGTTGAGGGCGGTCTATTTTGAAAATGTGGCTCTCGCCTTGGCGCCGCGTGCATTCGTTTTTACAAATTTGCCAGAGCTTCACGAATTGAGGGCGGCTCTTTTCCAAACTGGCTCTCGCCCTAGCGCCGCGCACATTCGTTTATACAATTATCCCGTGCGACCCTACCTAGGAGTTGGACCCCCTAGGAAAGTAGCATTAGTAGTATCGGTAAAGCTAAGCTAAAGCTAAGCTAACGCTAAGCTAAAGCTAAGCTAAAGCTAAGCTAAAGCTAAGCTAAAGCTAAGCTAAAGCTAGGCTAGAGCTAAGCTAGAGCTAAGCTAAATCTAAGCTAAAGCTAAGCTAAAGCTAAGCTACAGCTAAGCTACAGCTAAGCTAAATCTAAGCTAAAGCTACGCTGAAGCTAAACTGAAGCTAAGCTAAAGCTACGCTACAGCTAAGCTAAGCTAAGCTCAAGCTAAGCTAAAACTAAGCTAAAGCTAAGCTAAAGCTAAGCTAAATCTAAGCTAAATCTAAGCTAAATCTAAGCTAAACTAAACTAAACTAAGCTAAGTTAAGCTAAACTACAGCTAAGCGAAGCTAAGATGCAGCTAAGCTGAGCTAAGCTAAGCTAAGCAAAGCTAAGATGATATAAGCAACGCTAAGCTAAGGGATACAATAACACTAAGCTAAGGTGAAGCTAAGCTAAGCTAAGATGACATAAGCTAAGCTAAGATGAGATAAGCAACGCTAAGCTAAGGGAACGTCACTGGGGGAACCGCGGGGCGGATGCCGGGGGAACTGCCCGCGGCGTGGACCACTGCCCGGCCCTTTAAGCTTATAAAGTAAGAACCCTTCTAGGCAGGCAGAGCCTAGGTAGGGAATAAACCTGAGCTAAGATGAAGCTAAGCTAAGCTAAGATGAAATAAGCTAAGCTAAGATGAGATAAGCAACGCTAAGCTAAGGGAACGTCACTGGGGGAACCGCGGGGCGGATGCCGGGGGAACCGCCCGGGGCGTGGTCCACTGCCCGGCCCTTTAATATTATAAAGTAAGAACCCTTCTAGGCAGAGCCTAGGTAAGGAATTGACTACCCTGCACCGCGCCTGACCACGTCCACTGCTCGCGCAAACATCCCACCAACCCACCCGCAACTTGGTCGCAAGACTTCTTAAGACAAGACCGTGACGGTAGGTACCACATGGCACTTGGCCACGACACCGACGCCGACGACGACAGCGACAACGACGACGACGGCGCCGCCGACACCGACTGCGACGACACCGCCGACGTCGACGTCGACGAAGACGTCGACGACGCCGACGACGACGACGAAGACGACGACGACGTCGCCAACGAAGACGACGACGAGGGAGGAGGGAGGACGACGACGGCGACAATGACGACAACGACGATGGATGAGGGAAGACGGCGACGACGCGAATGACGAAGAAGGAGGAAGGACGGCGACGCCGACGACGACAACGACGAGGGAGGAGGGAAGACGAAGACGACGACAACGACGACGAAGACGACGACGACGGCGACGAAATTGGAGGGACGACGACAAGACGCCGACGACGGACGACGACGACGGCGAGGGAGGAGGATAACGACGAGGGAGGAGTGAAGACGACGACGACGACGACGACGGCGACGAAATAGGAGGGACAACGACGAAACGCCGACGAAGACGACGAGGGAGGAAAGACGACCACGGCGACAACGACGACGGAAGCGACGACGACGCCAAGACGACGACGACGACGACGAGGAAAGACAGAAGACGACGGCGACGACGACGACGACGACGAGGGAAGAGGGAGGACGACGACGACGACGCAAGAGTGCGCGCGCACGCTTTTGTTGAAAATCCGTGTTGCGAAACCTTGGTTCTTGTAGGTTTTTTGGACGCGCGATTTTGAAATCCTTCCGAAACCGATTGGTTTTGAAGGATTTCGGCGTACGCGCGCGACGACGCGCGCGTTTGCACTTCGTCGAATTTTTTGCAGAGGATTCTCGCGACGGCACACGCGCAAGGGCGTTCGACAGATTTCGACATGCGCGCGCGACGCCCGTTTGGTAGCATTGTGTGAAAATCTTGAAAAACCCATGGTTTTCTTCAGGTTTCGCAAGAGCTCGCGCGGAAGCTTTTTTAGCAAATCAGTGTTGCGAAACCTTGTGTTTTTGTATGTTTTTCGGAAACTCGATTGCGAAATCCTTCCGGCACCGCAGGTTTTTGAAGGATTTCGGCATGCGCGCGCGACGACGCGCGCGTGTCCACTTCGTCCCATTTTTTGCAAGGGATTCGCGAAAAAGTGTTATGTTAGAACAACAAATGTCACCGCATTTTTTTTTTTACAAGGGAACCTCAGGGGGGGGGAAACCGGCCTGCCTGGGATGGTATGATTTCATATTTAGGATGGGCGAGTGTGCAGAATATATGTATGTATGTATATGTATATATATATATATGTATATATAGGTATATATATATATACATATGTATATATATATAATTATATTATCCCAGGGGGAAGCGTTAAGTCCGGGGGGGGGGGGTAGAGTCTATTCACTTTTTAGAAAGGAGAATTTATAAGAATTTCACGAATTCCCATGATCAGCGTCTCAGAAATGGTGTTTTGGGAAATATTCAGGATTATGCGGGTGCAGCAGTTAAGTTGATTCGCGGTGTTGAAGTCCCAGGAATGGCGTTTTGGCACGATTAAGGCTCGTCAAGATGCAACAGTCAGGTTTATCCGTTGCGTTGGAATCCCTAGAAACGTGTTTTGACAGCCTATGAGGAGGGAGCTTTGAGGGAGGGTTTATTTAATCGCTTCGCTCATTCCGCCGGCCCTGGAGCCCTCTTTAGGGTCTCTTGGGGGCCTCTTGGGGACCTCTTGGGAGTCTCTTGGGGCTCCTTGGCGGCGTCTTGGGGGCCCCCAGGGCCTCTTGGGGGGCTCTTGTGGGCCTCTTGGGGCGGGAGGGGGGGTAGTCGATTGCGGCTCCCTCCTCGGAGGCCACGATCCTCGTGAGGGGTGTAGAAAAATTGCCCAGTCCGGGGTCTCCTCCCGGGACTTGCCTGGGGTACTTTTCGCCCGGGGACCCCCAGGGCCCGCGCGCGCGAGTTAGAAATATTGTTAACCAGTTACCGGAGATCTTAGCACGCCTTGGGCCGGCGAATTCCAACATCGTTGATGACTCTTGGGTTTACACTGGTCCTCCTCCTCCTCCTCCTCCTCCTCCTCCTCCTCCTCTCATCCTCATCCTCATCCTCATCCTCATCCTTATCCTCCTCCTCCTCATCCTCCTCATCCTCGATTCTCCTCGTTCTCGACCCTTTTCGTCCCTCCTCGTGTGATCCTCCTCCTCCTCCTCCTCCTCCTCGATACTCCTCGATTCTCCTTCTCCTCTTCTTCGATCCTCCTCCCCCTCCTCGGTCCTCCTCGATCCTCCTTCTCCTTCTCCTCGATCCTCCTCCCCCTCCTCGATCCCCCCCCCCTCCTCGATCCTCCTCCCGCTCCTCGATCCCCCCCCCCGGCGCCCGTCGGGGCGCCAGGCTCCTGCGTCGCGATGTGGTACCTCGCCGAGGAGCCGGTGAGGGGCGGCCAGGAGGACGGCATAGAGACGCTGTCCCTCTACCAGGACCCAGGGGTGCCGCCATCGAGCGAGCGAGCGAGCCAGACGCCGAAGCGAGCAGGCTCAGACGAGCACGCTCGTGCTCCTCTGGGCAGGGCGTGAGGGGCTGCAGCCTCGACAGGCGAGGCCGGCTCGGAGAGCTGGAGATGCAGCTCGAGCGTGTCAGGATGGGACGGGGGATCGGCGTCACAACGACCTACTACTACTACTACTACTACTACTACTACTACTACTACTACTACTACTACTACTAGTACTGCTACTAATATTATTATTATTATTACGACTACTACTACTACTACTACTACTACTACTACTACTACTACTACTACTACTACTACTACTACTACTACTACACTACTACTACTACTACTACTACTACTACTACTACTACTACTACTACTACTACTACTACTACTACTACTACTACTACTACTACTACTACTACTACTACTACTACTACTACTACTACTATACTACTCTACTACTACTATTATAACTTCTACTACTACTACTGCTACTACTACTACTACTACTACTACTACTACTACTACTACTACATGTGCGTCGCCCCCCCCAGGGGCGACGCGTGCCTCGAGAGATCTGCTAGTACAAGCTCCGTGGTTGGCGCTTTCTGGCCGCACCGCTCGGGAAACGATCTACTACAAGATGGTTCTACTAGATGTTCGGGTCGGACGCACGCCTCCAAGGCGGACACATAGTACTAGTATGTCTTGGTGCGTCCCAGGGGGACCGGGGCGGAAGGTGAGGGGTGAGACAGCGAGGAGCAAGGCAGCACCATTACAGGGGCGTGCTGGGGGGACATGGGCCGAGAAGGCGAGGGGTGAGATAGCGAGGAGCAAGGCAGGACCACTACAGGGGCGTCCAAGGGGTGGGGAGGAGCAAGGCAGGACCACTACAGGTCAGCCACGCGCAGAGGTGGGTTGGGGGGAGGGGGGAGGGGGGAGGGCTTCTTAGAAGCAACCCTGCTTCTCAAACGCGCTGGCCTTCTCTATAGACGTCAGGGCGGGGCCTTCTAAGAAGCACACCTGCTTCTAAGAAGCCCTCCCCCCTCCCTCCGCCCCCTTGTGCGCACCGCCAAGCAGGGGCGCCGCGACCCCGCCCGAAGGGGCCGTCGGTGTCGTCGCCGCCGCCGTCGGAGGCCCTCGCGGGCCCTTGGTGGCCCTCGGCGGCCCTCTGTGCGGCTCCGGGGCCTCTGCCGGCGGCCTCGAAGGAGGCCCTCTGCGGCCATACGGGAAGTGGCGAGGATGCGCCCAGGCGGTCGCTGTCGTCGTCGTTCGTCCGTCGTCCGTCGTCCGTCGTCCGTCGCCGTCGCCGTCGCCGTCGCCGTCGCCGGCGCCGTCGCCGTCACTGGCGCCGTCGCCGTCGCCGTCGTCGCCGGCGCCGTCGCCGTCGCCGTCGCCGCCGTCGCGTTCGTCGTCGCCGCCGTCGTCGTCGCCGTGTTCGTCGTCGCCATCGCCGTCGTCGTGGTCGTCGTCGCCGTTGGTCGAGCATCGAGTTTTGAGGATCGCGGTTCTGGGGTGTTTTTGCACCCGTTGCGGGCCTCTGGGGAAGTCGCTATCGGCACGACAGGCTGTGAGCGAAGGCGCGATCATGTGAAGAGCACGCGAATGAGTTCAAAAGCAGAAGTAATCACATGCAAGCAGAGCAGTCCCTGGGCCAGGCCTGGCCTTCCCCAGCTGCAGCTTGGCACGAGGAGGATGATGATGAGGAGGAGGCGAAGGACAAGGAGCAGGAGAGGGTGGAGGAGTAGGAGGATGGGGGGGAGGAGGACCAGTGTACACACACACACCGCATCAACGATGTTGGAATAAGCCCTCCTTCCCAGTTCCCTCTCCATAGGTCCCTACAACAAATCACTGCGGGAAGTGCCCTGTTGGAAGACAACCGCGTGAGAATCACCAATCGTGCGAGAACACCGTTCCTGGGGCATCAACGCCGCGAATCAACGTTACCGTTGCGTCCTGGCAGATCCTAAATCGTGCCAGAACGCCGATCCTGGAATTTCAAACACCAGGAATCAACGTGAATGTTGCGCCCTGACAGTCTTACATTGTGCCAGAATGCCACTCTTGGGACGTCAGCCACAATAATCCCTAAAACTGCTGTGCGTACACGATTAAAACGAATTTGCGCGGCGCCAAGGCGAAAGCCACAGTTTGAAGACGAGCCGCCTAAACTTTCAAACGAATGTTCGAGGCGCTACGGCGAGAGCCACATTCTGGAATGCACCCGCCCTCCATCCATGAAGCTGTTGCGAACTTTTAAGACGCATGTGCGCGGCGCTGAAAACGAGAGCCACATTTGAACGACCCGCCCTCCATCCGTGAAGCTCTCGCAAGCTTTCAAGACGAATGTCGGCGGCGCTAAGGCGGGAGCCACATTTTGAACACGACCTGCCCTCCATCCGTGCAATTCTTGCACATGTTTGGCTTCAGGATCAGCAGTGGTGAGGAAGTCTCAGGCGAAACGCCCGGCCCGCCCTACCGACTCGTCTCGGGGTGCGACAGGGAGGAGTTATTGATAAGAAAAAGGGATTACGAGGAGAAAAGCGCGCTAACCCAAGAGAGGCCCTTTTAGGACCCGGCCACGCGCGCTCGATGCGGCATGGGCTCGAGCGAGCGGAGGCCTCCTGCTCCGATCCGGCTGCAGGCCTTCGCATGCTGCGGGATCCCGTACGGAGCGGGCAAGGGAGATCGGGCGAGTGGAACCATGCACACGCACCGATCTTGGCCAGGCCCATCCTGGGCCCAGGATCGGTGCATACGCCCTCCTGGCCAAGGCAGGAGGGCGTATGCACCAATCCTGGGCTCATGGTGGGCCTGGCCAGAATCGGTGTGTGTGTGTGTGTGTGTGTGCGTGTGTGTGTGTGTGTGTGTGTGTGTGTGTGTGTGTGTGTGTGTGTGTGTGTGTGTGTGCAAAGTTCTCTTTCCTCTAAAAGGGAGGGGTCGTGACCATTCTGGCTCGAGCTGGCCGTCTGAAGCCCGCAGGCCGCCACGCACACCAACGTCCACACCCACACCCCTACACCCACACTCCCTGGGGCTCTGGTCGTTCTTTTATTATCGTCGAGCTCTTCGACGTCTGAGCGTCCCTTCTTCCTCTCGGCCGTCCCTTCCCCTCTTTGCCCGCCGGCCAATTCGATAGTCAGTGCCCCTTCCTAGCTTCTCGCTGGAACGGAGTTCGCCGCCTCGCTGCTGACGAAAAAAAGCTTGCTTTTTCATGTTGTAGATTTTTCGCGACGTCGGATCCCAGGGTCGATGCCTACGCCTCCCTGGCCAAGCCAGGAGGGCCTATGCGTCGTTCCTGGGCCCAGGATGGGCCCAGCCAGGATCGGTGCAGGTGGTCAGTGTTTGACATCGGACGTTTCTGTTCTGTTCGACATGCGCAGCGCCTGGCCCGTTTTTTATTGCCACGGGGCGCGAAAACGGGCCCCGAAGGCCAATATCGAAGAACAAAAACGTCGGGATTGAAAGAACATATCGTCTGGGGTGCGTCCGTAGGCCGTAGGGATCTGGCAGGCAGGGTCTGTGTCCGTATGGCCAATCATGGGGGTCGTTGGGTTTCACAGAGCCCCAGAACAAATGCCGTCCCCTATCTACGCTGCCCCACCTCTTCGTCACAGGGGGGTGTCGCAAAATCGGAGGGCTCCCTGACGTGATACTCTACGACCAAGAGAGAGAAAGAGAGAAAGAGAGACAGAGAGAGAGAGAGAGAGAGAACAACAGAGAGGGCGAGAGAGAGAGAGAGAAACAAAGAGAGAGAGGGTTTAAGTCAAATGGCAGCGGTGTGCAAAGTTCCCACTGCCTCGCTGCTTCTACTTGTCGGCGTGCTGGCCCATCCGCAACCGATGCGGTGTTTCGTGCAACAGTTGGGCCCAGAGGCAGCCGTTCACCGCTATACCGTGCCACACTCCATTGCTTACACCATGTACACTCTTTGTCCAATCAATGTTTCTATGCGGTTCTTTGCACAATTGTTGTATTTGGGGACTTGCGCTACGCATCCCGCGCCCGACAGCCGTTTTGGCTCGAGCCGCGTAGGCGAGTCCATCCGTGGCGACGATGGAAGGTTAGCGGTACCCAGACATCCGACGTCTTGATTTTCCAATACGATTGGGTCCCAGGAAGCCCCGACCCTTTCTTCAGGGCCGGCTTTGAATCTGGAGGTGTTTTTTGACGGTCCCAGGGCCTGGCGATTGCCCTGGATGCCGGGGACAAAGAAAACTTCCGCTTTCGTGTTTCTCAATGCGTTGGATGTCTGAGTTCTCTTCTTCTGGGATCTGGGGTCGACTTCGCCCGAGGCATGTAGGGCACGGCCCCAGCGGCGCTCGGGCCGCACATGGCGCTGGCGGAGCTCTCGTCCGCGCTGCAGGATCTGCGGCCCCTGCCCTGCGGGTCCGACCGACGCTGGGGTTTCGGACGCGCGGAGGAGTGCCAGTCGAGACAACGGCGGCCCTTCCGGGCATCTTTCGTCCTCTTTGGGCCTCCTGGAGGCATCCGCGTCGAGAAACGGATCAGGTTGGACTTACGGGGGGGTCCGGGGGCCGATGTCTCCAATTGTTAGTTTGCTCCTTGCTCGGAGGCTCCTCGGGTTCCCCGGGTTCCTCGGGTTACCCGTCCCCAGTGGCTCCTATTGTTACGTTGCCCGTTCCTCCGAGGTTCCTCGGGTTCTTTGGGTTCCTCAAGCACTGCCAAGCAATGCCAAACAATGCCAACCCATGCAAAGCAATGCCAAGCAATGCCAAGCAATGACAAGCAAGGCCAAGCAATGCCAAGCAATGCCAACCCATGCAAAGCAATGCCAAGCAATGTCAAGCAATGCCAAACAATGCCAAGCAATGCCAAGCAATGCTCCCAGCGATGCGCCCAGCGATGCGCCCGGCGATGCGCCGATGCACCCATGCGCTCTGTTCGTGCTTTTTCGCGATGTTGCAGTTTCATCGCGACGTCTAAATCAGGGTCGGATCGGGGGAACGTAAGACT